AGAATATACTTTGCACTCATTATAATCCTATTAGGATATAAGGAAAGAAGAACTTACATATCAGGAGAAAGAAGAAAGGGATAAAATACAGATTACCAAGGATTTTCAGGAAGAAATGTGGAAAGGATCTTGTCAACATGGTATACAGAGTTATAGTTTCTTTCCTTATTAGCCTTACCAATTTAAAGACTAAGATGCACATGATTCAAGCCATAGTCTTTTCAATTACTTATGTTATGCACTTGAAAGGTGGACAATGAATAAGAGTAAAGAAGAACTAGTGCCTTTGAGTTGTAGTGTTGGAGAAAAGTATTGACTGTCCCATGGACTACCAAAAGAACAAATAAAAATGTCTTGGGTAAGTGCAGCCAGAATGGTTCTTAAAGAAGAGGTTGGCCAAAGCTTTGTTTCACATACATGTGGCATATTGTTAGAAGGAGCCAGTACTTTGAAAAGGACACCATTCTTGGGAAAAAGGAGAATCAGTAAAAGAAATGAAGACCCTCAATAAGACGGATTGACATAGGGATTCATTGTCCAGTTCTCCAAAGCATAATAAGTAATTGAAAAGACCATAGCTTGAACTGATGCACCTTAGTCTTCAAACTGAGACAAACTTTCAAAACTAATTTAATCAGATGATATTTACTAGGTGGGGAGCTCTGGTGGCCTAGTGGCTACTGCAATCCCAGAGGCACGTGGTTGGAGTCCACCAGCTGCTTCACAAGAGGATTGACAGCCTCTTCTTGTGGGATTAACTGCCTCTGAAAACCTGAAGGAGCTGAAGGAGGGTTAGCTATAGATTAGTTTCGACTCAATGGTACACAACTACAACATAAAACATACACTAGTGAAGGAGGAATGCCTTTAGAAAATACCTCCATTTGTCATTAGTAAGTAGACTGCTACAAAACTTCTCAAACACTTGTTTTTGTGTAGTAATAGCTTGATCTTATTGAACTTTTTAGGTTGGCATTTGGACCTACAGTCTTCAAGCCAAAGCAATCTCAGAAACATTAACTGTAACAATTACCTCTCGGGCATCAAGCTCTTCTGTGCCTCCAATCACAGTGAACACCAAAATGAATAAAGACACGAATACCTTCCCTAGCCCAATGATTGTTTATGCAGAAGTTCAACAAGGGTTCTTACCTGTGCTTGGAGCTACAGTGACTGCTTTCATTGAATCAAAGAGTGGAACAACGAACACTCTGGAACTTTTGGATAATGGTGCAGGTAATTTATAAATATTTAAGACAAGCTTGTATTGTAATAACAGAGTTGTTGGGTATTATGACAGGCAGGAAAAGAATTGGTACAGATCATAAGAAAGAGCAAGACTGGTAAGAAATTTCATTCATCCAATTTCTATAAAATGCTTAGCATAGTGCTTTCCAGATGGTAAGTACTTATTAAGGGTTGTATATATCTGAGGTCCAATGGCCTAATGGGGAAGGAGATGTGCTGCCAACTGACAGGCAGGCAGTTCAAGCCCACTCGCTGCTCTGTAAGAGAAATATGGGCAATCTCCTCCCTTGGGATTTACAGCCGAGGAAAACCCTCTGGAGGGTTAGCTGTAAATCTGTTCCAAATGGACGGCACATAACAATAACAACATCTATGTATGTATATGTGTGACACATCTCACAATAACTTCTGGGAGAGCATAGTGGCATTATTCTCCAAAGGAACAGTGTCAAAGCTGGAAACTCAATTAGGGTGTTTGCTTATAAAGGTCCTCTAATTAGAAAATGCTTATTTTTCTCTTCTTCTTTGCAATAATAATGTATTCATTCTCTCTTCAACAAGGTGCTGATTCTTTCAAGAATGATGGTGTGTACTCCAGATATTTTACAAATTATACAGAAAATGGCAGGTATAGCTTAAAAGTACGGGTTCAAGGAGGAACAAATACTGTCACAAAAAGCCTGATGCGTCCATTGAATAAAGCTCTCTATATACCAGGCTGGGTGGTAGATGGTGAGTAATGGATATAAAAAGTTTAATTAGCTTGAATAATAATATATTGCAAAACAATTAACTACTCAGACTATAAGGGTTTTCTTTCATTTATGGACAGGAACTTGCAGACATAACAATAAATATTGAGTATTACTGAGTCTGACTAGTGTAAGCAACTAATGTGCTTGACTAGTCACTAAAAGTTCAGTGTAAGCCCACTCAGAGGCACTTAAGAAGAAAGTCCTGGTGATTTGATGCTGAAAAATCATCCATAGAAAAATTTGCAAAGTGCAATTCTACTGTGAATCTTAATTTTTTGGTGGTAACTATTTTATTATTATTATTATTATTATTGTTAGCCATATTTGGTAGAAAGTTGCATAGACCAGCAACAACATTTAGCTCAAGGGCTAGCTAACATTTAGCTCAGTTGTAAGAAATAAGTCAGTGTGTGGTGAGTCTTAATATAAGCAAGTGACAGAGATCATCTTCAGCTCAAATATATTGGGTGGTTTTTTTTTTGGTTTTTTGTTTGTTATTGTTTTGTTTTTTAAAATTTATTATTAATTGCAATGAAAATTTACAGTTGTTGTTGTTGTTATTTGCCGTCAAGTCATTTGCGACTCATAGCGACCCTATGTAAAACAGCCCTAAACCGTGCTCTATCCTGTGCCAATCTCATTGCCTCTGACAAATCCATCCCGAGTACCCCAGTCACTGAATCAAGCCACCTCATAGAGGGTCTTCCCCTCCTGCGCTAAAGACCTGTCTCTCCTTAGAACATGTCCAAAGTATGTCAGACGAAGCCCCAGAATCCTTGCTTCCAAGGAGCAGCCTGGTTTAATCCTCTCTACGATGAATCTGTTTGTTTTCTTAGCAGTCCATGGTACATTCAATACTCTTTTCCAGCACCACAGCTCAAAGGTGTCAATTCTCCTTCTATCCTCCCTAGTCACTGTCCAACTCTCTGATGCATAACAAGTGATTGCAAAAACCATGGCCTGTATCAGGCGGACCTTAGTCTCCAGAGAGAAACTGTTGCTCTTCAGTATTTTGGAGAGGTCCCTAACCGCAGACTTTCCCATCGCAATACGTTATTTTATTTCCTGGCTACCCTCTTAGAAAAGTAAAAGGGAAATTCTTTCGTTGTTTTACAATCACTCCCCGCAGGTCCACTCCACTATGCAGCCTTCACTCTGAAGTTCTATCATGACAAAAATACCTAATAACACATTCTGTTTAAACAGTTTTTTCTCTTATCTGTTTCAATGCAGTATACTTGTATACATAATTGAACCCATATTTCCAGTCTCCTCCCAGCCCCAAGGTCAGTCCTATTTTACAACAGTGGCACCATGCAGCATTTGTCCTTTGGTGACTGAGATACTTCAATCAGCATAATGTCCTTCAGGGTTACCCATGTGGAATAATATTGCATGAGTTTGTTGCTTTTCAATGCTATGTAGTATTCCATTGTGTGAATATACCACAGCTTCTCTATCCATTCGCTTGTTGATAGGCACTTAAGTTGTTTCCAACTCCTTGCTATTGTCACCACAACAAGATAAAGGTAAATAATCCAATAGAAAAATGGGCACAGGATATGAACAGCTACTTCAACAAAGAATTCAGATAGCTAACAAACACATGAAGATTTGTTCAAAATTCCTAGCTCTAAGAGAGATGCAAATCAAAACAACTATGAGATATCATCTCACCCCAGTCAGAATAGCAAAATTTAACAGAACTGCAAGCAACAAATGCTGGCAAGGTTGTGGAGAAACTGGAACCCTTATTCACCGTTGGTGGGAGTCTAAAATCGTGCAACCACTGTGGAAGGCGGTGTGGCACTTTCTCAAAAAGTTGCAAATAGAGATACCATTTGACCCAGCAATTCCACTACTGGGAATATACCCCAAAGAGACCATAACTGACGTCCAAGCAGATATATGCACACCCATGTTTATTGCAGCTTTGTTCACAATAACTCAAATACATTGCAAACAAGCAAATATTTATTTGGGAATATTTTTTTAAAAGTGTGTGGAGCAGGGTAATGATAAGGATTAAAAACAAATTCTTTTATTGTTTACATTTTTTAACCTTATCTTGTAATATTTAAGTGTTTGCTGTTAACAACTGGAATGGAACCATAGGTTCCTTAGCACTTGATGGAGAAAGGGTGTGCTGGTAGCAGTGGATGGAAGGGTACCAGCAAGGATTTGTCGAGGTTTATTCCCACCTTGGAGATAATTTGAGAGGTTCAGCAATTCCTTTAAAGAAGAGATTGAATTATATAACATTGTTGGCAATCTATATACCCTTACTACTAGTCTACATGGTTTTAACCAGGACACTGAAGGTAGAATTTCTCCAATTTTGAGTATGACAAACTGAGTCAGGGTATATCATTGTTCTTGAAGAACAGTCTGCATACATAAAATCCTTAACAGAGAAATGGTGAAAGGAGAGTCAATACACACCTGGACTAGGTGTGATGACAGGGCAAAGCTTTTCTGAATTAGATATTATGTACTTATTTAGTACTATCAAGAGTTGGAATATTCCAAAACTGAATACTTAATTTCTCATAATCTTTCAAAGACATCCTTGGGTTATATTTCAATTCTTTTCTCTGCATTATCTTGAGTTATGATTATTTTCCACACTTAGCAAAGAGGTAAATACATATATGAAAAAAACAAAAGACAACTGGGATTTTTACTGGGTTCTGGAAATCTTAACTCCATATAAAGCAGAAAGTATTTCCTGCAGGCGTAATTGAAGGGAACCCACCAAGACAAGAAGCAAATGATACTCAGGCAACCTTGGAGAATTTCAGCAGAACAGCAACTGGAGGTGCATTTGTGGTATCAAATGTTCCAAATAATCCCACAATTGACATGTACCCACCAAGTCAAATCACAGACCTTGAGGCCACATTTGATGAAGATGAAATCACGTTAACGTGGACTGCACCAGGAGATGATTTTGATGTTGGAACAGGTAAGGTGATTTGTCTTGTGATGCTCACAGCTGTAAAAAGTGTTTGAGAATATGTAACTTATAAAATCAAGTTGGAAAAAGTAGACCAATAAAGCAATTTTTCCTTTACAGCTCCATAAAGTATTACCGTTATAGTCACAATTTATTTTCAGATTTTGTAATCTGAACTGTTTGAATCAAATGTGATATGCTTAATCTAGCCTCAAAATTCCAAATAGTGAAAAGTAGCAATTGGTGGAATTTTAAAAGTCAAGAGTCATCTTTTATTTAAAAATGTGTAAGGATTAGCACTCAAGTATAAACAATGAAACTATACTTTTGAGGATATAAATGAAAAAGTAACTGCTTAAGCCATATTTATCCCTTTGTGACTGAAATAGTTCACTCAGCATAATGACTTCTAGACTCATCCATGTTGTATTGTGTTTTATGAGTTTATTGTTTTTCAATACTGCTTAGTATTCTACTGTGTGTGCCCTAGTTTCTCTATCCATTCAATTGTTCATGGGTACCTGGGCTATTTGCATCTTTTTGCTATTGTGAATAATGTAATAATTGGATCAAGATGGGGGAGGGGAGAAGAGAAGAAAGAGAATGTGTAGATAATGAATATTGAACTGGGAGGAGTGAAAGGAAGGACATTCTGAGACGAATGGATGATTAGAAACCACATGTATAATTAATTGTTTTCCAGGGGGAATGGAGAGAGAGTAGGAAAGTCTGCATGAGTGAATTTTTAAAAAGTTTTTAAAAGATGTGGAAATATATGCTTCAAATCTTAAATTACCTGTAACTTGTTTTTCTTTAGCTCAAGAGTATATCATAAGAATAAGTGGAAGTATACTTGATCTAAGAGATAACTTTGATGATGCTCTTCAAGTAAACACAACTGGTCTGTCTCCAAAGGAAGCCAACTCCAAGGAAACCTTCATGTTTAGACCAGGCAATATCTCAGATGAAAATGCAACACATGTATTTATTGCTATTAAAAGTGTTGATAAAGGCAATTTGACATCAAAAACATCCAACATTGCACAAGTAGCACTGTTTATTCCACAAGCAGACACAAGTCCTGATGATAATCCTCAGAATCCCAGTTCTGGTGAAAATCAGCACACTGGAGTCAACATTATTGCTGTGGTGTTTTTGGTGATCGGAGCTGTTGTGGTTATCTGGATTATTGTAGGTACCACAAAATGCTTTGTAAGTAAGAAAAAAACTTCAAGTAGACCTAGGACTGGATTTTAAGAAAACCAACAACAACAAAATAGGAAACATTTGTGACTTTTGTAAAATATTCACTTTAATCATAAATTTGCAAAAATAATAAATGACACTTTGTTTAAATATAAACATCAATACTTGAAAGATTGTAATATTAATGTTTCACTATTTTATTAGACATTTATAATGATGAATAAAGATAATTTTTTCATATTGATATTCAGTTGTGTGTTGTTTTATAAAAATTTTTCTAGAATATGTCACATTTCTTGACTACATTAAAGTGGTCTATTTAGGTAATCATTTGTTGTGTCAAAGCTGATTCATAGCTAACCCTTCAGTGTGCTTTCAGAGGCAGTAAACTGCAGGTGGAGATTGCCCATCCTTTGCACTATAGAACAGCTGGTGAATTCAGACCAAGTGACTGAGATTGCAGTGCAGCTTCTTATGACTAGGCAACTAGAGCTATCCTAAATATTTATCAGAGGAGATTGTAGATCTTTCCCCTGTGGGATTTACAATTTATGGATTGGAACCACTGGTCTTTCAATTAGCAGCCCACCAAGTAACTCAGTATACCACCAGATCTCCAGGACAGCTGCCTGGCCAACTGACAAGAAGAGATGCTTATTTATTCCCATTCCCAAGGAAGGTGATACAACAGAACGTGGAAATTATAGATCACTATCACTAATATCTCAAGTAAGCAAAATATTCCTGGTGTTCATCCAACGTCATCAATTGTATATCGACAAGGAACTGCTAGAAGTTCAAGTGGAGCTTATAAAAAGATATTGTTGTAGGGATATTGTTGTAGATGTCAAATGGATCTTGGCTGAAAATAGAGAATACCAGAAGAATATTTATTCATGTTTCATTGACTAGACAAAAGCATTTCACTGTGGGCATCATAACAAGCTCTTGTTAACACGAAGAAGAATGGGAATCCCAGAACACTTAATTGTGCTCACGTGAAATCTTTAAACTAGATCAAGAAGTTGTTGGCCAAAATAAAACATTTCATAGATTAAAATTAAAAAAAATGTGTGCATCAGGGATGTATCCTTTCTCTACACATATTCAATTTATGAAGCTGGATCTCAAACTTGTATATTTTCTTTCTCCATGAATGCCGCTGCTGTCTCTACTTTTCCACTTCTGTGTCTTGAAGGGATCTGGATATTTTTGTTCTTCTTCTTTTGTCTTCAAAACAAGTGCAATTACTCAGAGAAGTTTCTTCTAATGATGACACACACATACACATATACACACATATTCTCTTAATATTCTATATTATAATTGCCTATTTGGTTGCCCTTATTTCCCCTACTGCTATCACAAAGATTGGTAAAATCCTAAAGACTGATAACCCTTATAATTCAAGCCTAGGACTAAACCCACCTCAAGGAAATTTCAACCAAATAATGTTATTTTTGTCATCAAGTACAAATCATCGCAAGTATATGAACAACAAATCTGAACCTTGTACTATTCTGTGTCATCTTGACAATTTCTGACACTCCAGGGCATTGCTGCAGTCACTCTGTCAATTCACTTGGTTGAGTTTGAATTCACTTTCTCTCCTCCACCTTTCCAAGTTTGATGATGTCCTACTCCAAGGAAAAACCTCTCCTAGCAACATGCCAAAGGATGTGAGATGAGGCTGTATTATCTTTGTCTCCAAGGAGCACTCTGGCTGCACCTTTAAAACATACACATTTGTTCCTTTGTTAGTCCATGGGATATTATGTACTCTTCTCCAGCACCACAATTCAAAGGCATCAGTTATTCTTCTGTCATCTTTATTCATTGCTGAGCTCTCAGTTGTATAGCAAGTAACTGAAAAGACCATAGCTACTCAGACACACTTTCACCATCAAACTGATATCATTGCAACTCAATAATTTGGAGAGGTCCCTACGGCAGACTTTTCTAGTGCAATACACTTCTGATCTCCTAACTGCTGATACTAAGTGTACGGATTAAGTAGTTGAAAGTTTCAATCTTTTCTCCATCTATCATAATGCTTTGTATTGGTCCAGTGACTAAGATTTTTGTTTTCTTGATGTGAGATGTAATCCATATTCAAGGCTGCAGTGTTTGATGTTCTGCAGCAAGTGTTTCAAGTCCTACTCACTTTCAGCAAGCAAGGTTGTATTATTTGCATAATGAAGGTTATTAATGAGTCTTCTGCCAATTTTCATTCCACATTCCATTCATCAAGTCCATCTTCTAGAATAATTTGTTCAGCATACAGATTACATATGTATGGTGAATGGATACAACTCTGATGTACACCTTTCTTAATTTTAGACAATGTAGTATTCTTTTGCTCTGTTCAAACAATCATCTGTTGGTCTAGATAAAAGTTTTGCATGAGCACATTTAAGTGTTCTGAGATTCCTATTATTCTCAATATTAGTCATAATTTTTTATGATCAGAAAATTAATAATTAATGGATTTAAGACTATTAAAACAAATCCATGCAAATCAAAATATGATCTTGAGTCTATGCCACTTGAATTTAGAAATCATATTAAGAGTAGATTTGAATCATTTGATACCAGTTATTGAAGATCAAATGAATTGAAGGATGACATCAAGGAAACCCAATAATAGACAGGCCTATTACATGCACATAGCACCAGAGAGGAATATAGCCCTCCAGACAGTCAAATGTCTTTGGTATTTACCTAAAAACCAATGCTCAGAAGGTAAGAAGGAGCAGAAAATCGGGGAACCCAAGAAGAAAGCAAGAAATCCACTGTTACATTATGGAAATTGTAAGCCATGTCACAAAACAAAATGTATATAAATTTTTAATAGAAAAACGAATGTATTCTGTAAACATAACAAATCATACGAATTATAAAAATGTCAACAGAAATAATATTGACCTACATACTCTGAATTGGGCCTAGGGGTATCTTGACTAATATCCTCTTTGTTACAGCAATAGCATAAACTTCATATACTTTTATTTAATGCCTAAACCATTATATTACGATTACCTGTGTAAAAGGGAAGGTTGTTTTATATACTCTTTCAGGTAACATGCTTGTTTCTTACTAATTAAGGAGCTCTGATGGCTATTAAGACAGACTGGGGAGAAGTATTGGCCATCCACTTCCAAATAACAGGTCTTTGACAACCCTATGTGCAAAAGAGCACAGTTGGATTAGACCAGCGTATATGACTCTAGAGGCTAAACCTTGTACGAGAACTCACAAAGGGGGAGGAAGAGTTGCAAAAAGACCCTAGTTATTGGAATGTGGAATGTGAGAACTATGAATGTAGAAAAAGTGGACATTGTTAAGGAAGACATTGTTGTTGTTGATGTTAGGTGCCATCGAGTTCTGGATGACTCATAGCAACCCTATGAATGAAAGGCCTGAGAACTGTTCATAGAGTTTCTGGAGGCAAACCATTTCTAAAGTGGATGCCACTCCTGCTTCCAGGTTTGTTTTAATTGGGAAGCTCCACCAGACACTGTCCACCATGGTAACCATTATCACATTTGGCACATCAGTGTCACAGTGTTCAGCATCACAGCAACCATGAGTTACCTCTGTACAGTGATGCACAAACCAGTGCTATACGACCTAGAAGAATGTTTGACAGGAAAGCAATTTGAACCAGGTCTGAGGGCCGCAGATTAAAATCACCCTCCTTGGGCTTGATAGCATCACTTTCTGTCCAACCTAGCTTTCTCTCTGTCGACATTGTTATTGTTGTTGGGTGCCAAATGCTTAAATTTGACATACTAGGCATTGACAAAATGAGATGGATTGGCAAGGGAAATTTTTAATCAATCATATAATTTACTATACCAGAAATAAAAAGGTGAGGAAGAACAAGGTCACATTCATAGTTTAAAGATCATTTCTAGATCCACCTTGAAGTATAATGTTGTGAGCAAAAGGATACTATCCATATGCACACAAGGAAAATCTGTTAATATCAAGATCATTCAAATATATGCACCAAAAATCAGAGCATAAAAGGAGGAAATATATTACTTCCACCAATATTTGCAGCTGGGAATAATTTGAACATTTAACAAAGATACGTTAAGGACTATGGGTCTCTGGGATGCAAAAGCTGGGAACACGGAAGAAGGATCAATTACCAGAAAATAAATGGCCTTGGTTACAGAAATGAGGCTGGAGATAGAATGATAGAACTTTGTACAAGCAATGTCTTATTCATTGCAAATACCTTTTATAGGAAATAAAACCAGTAACATACAAATGAACCTCACCTGATAGTCTTAAATAGGATTCTGATTGCATCATTAGAAAGAATCACTGGAGAAGCTCAATATCACTTGTGAAAATTTGACTGGTTGCTGATTGTGGAACAGACCATCAACTATTTTATGTAAGTTTAAACTGAAGCTAAAGGAAAGGAAATCTAAACCACAAGAATCAATATTTGACCTTAAGTCTATTCAACCTAAAATTAAAAACCATTTCTATTACAGGTTTGAGGCTTGAATACTAGTGAGCAAAGACCAGATAAGCTGTGGGAGAATATCACGAATATCATCTGTGAAGACTGCAAAAACGTCATTCCTAAGACAGAGAAGGAAGAAAAGATTGAGATGAATGTTAGAAGAGACTCTGAATATTGCAATAGAGAGCAAATAAGCCAAAGCATAGGAAAGAAATCTGGACGTTAAGGATCTGAACAGAAGATTCCAAGGGGCAGCTCAGGAAGACAAAGCAAATTACTATTATGATATGTACGAAGAGCTTGAGTTAAGCAAAAGGGCTGAAATCACTTGGCATTTCTTAAGCTGATGGAACTGAAAGATAAAATCAAGCTTTGAGTTCCATAATCTAAGGATGCCATGGGCAGAGTATGGAATGATTCAGAAAGCATCAGAAGAAGATGGAAGGAGCATGCAAAGTCACTATATCATAAAGAATTGTTGGATACAAAATAATTTCAAGAGGCAATGGTGATAAAAGAGGAAGTTCAGGCTGCTTTGAAAGAACTGGCAAAAACAATGACCTAGGGA